GAATCAGCTGGAAGTTCTCACTAACTACATATTCCCGGGAGCCGTCATAGACCTGCAGACTCAGAAGGACCAGTGCCAGGGCTTAGGAATCTGTTTTAACAAGCTCCTCAAGGACGCTGATGGCCAGCCAGATAGGAGCCAACAATTCCTCCCCAAACCGCTGGTTCCAACCACCACCCCGCCCCACGTGGCCCCCAAGCCTCCCACATCCCCTTTATATGCCCCAAGGAGGATGCTTCGATGCCAGCTGGTTGAGAAGAAGCAGGTTTGGTCCCCAAAATAGCAGGAGTGTTTTCTATTTCTTTGGAAATGTTTATCATTTACCCACCCTGATACATATCTAATCCTACAGCTGATTTTTTTTACATTATTTAACCAAAACATATATTCTTTTCTGGACACCACTATAAACTTCCTTTCTGAGCATTAAATAAAAGATGACAATGATGATATCTATAACCATTTATGGGGTATTTACTATATGCTTTATGTACATTATCTCCAACTACAGCAACTCTGCAAGGTACATTTTATTCTCTCCACTTTGCAGTTAGGAAACCAAGGCTCAGAGAGGTTAGTTAACTTTCCCAAACATGCCCCTCCAGCAAATGGCAGGACCAAGAATTGAATCTAGATCCTGATTCAACTCCAGAGTCCAAGTTTCCTCCATGTCCACTAGCTGTGTCATCTGGGGCAATTTACTTAACCTTTCAATGCCTTCATTTCTCCATCTGTGCAAAGAAGGAAACAAAAGTACCTAACTCATAGGTTTGTCGTTTAGGTTAAATGAAGTAATTCATGTCAAATAATTAGCACCGTAATATTAAATATTATATTAGTTGTTATTATAAGTCTTGGAAAACATTTTATCCCTCTAAATAAAAAAGGTTGCAAATTATTTCAGTATGTGCAAATTCTGACTCTCAGTGACTCTCAATGTTTAGTAGCATATTAGAGACCCAGAGAAATTGCACAGTGAAAAATCCAGTTTACTTTACCCCAAGCTAGAAGATATAATTTTCTAAACAAATCTCTTAATTTTCACTCAGCATTTTGGGCCTGCCCAAGAAGGAAAGGGACGTTTTACGCCCGATTTGGAATGGAATTACTTTGATAATCTCACCCTCTGCTCGTGCTTGGAAAAGGCCCTACTGGAAGAACATACCATTAAGCACTTGCTTTGATACTGGCTGTTAATCCCATGGCCCAGCTTGACATTGTCTCTTAGCAACGTCCTGTCCTTTTCCCCTTTTCATTCTTGTGCCTCTAACAACACTTCCTCTCCTCTGATTTCTCTTCGGCCTTCGGCTTTCAAGGCCCCTTAAGTCTCCTGTACACAGAGAGAAGCAGGAGCTGAAGGCCCCATGCACATATTTATGTTAATAGCATTGAGGGGAGGAACAGGCTGTTCTGGGGACTGCTTTCCAACTGTCACATAAATCAGTCAGAAAAAAAGGTTACTACTTTCACAAAGACACTGCCAGCGTGGAGCAGCAGGTCTTGGCAACGCATCGCTCTCTTATTCCCCGCCCCCTAAGCTGAGCTTCCGTCATGCCTCCCTCCTTCTCGATTCTCCAGGCAGGAGGGGAGGAAGGATTTCGTAGATGCAAAGGATTTCCAAGTCAGAAGGGACCTTTGAGATCATCTAGTGCTAAATCGGATGGAAACTTCCAGTAAATACCTCTGCCTGGGTCCTTTCCCCAGAGATTCTGGAGCCGTCCTTTGGAAGTGGGAAACAGGAATGTTTTTTAAGCTTTCCAGGTGATTCTAATGCATAGCCAGGACTGAGAAGTATTAATGGACTCATATTCTTGTGGAGAGACTTAGGACCAGAGAATGTGAAACTTCCTTTAGATCACACAGCCATTAGCGATAGGATAGAACCTTAATTCCCAGTGGTATTTTCTTCCAAAATGTTATGCTGTCCCTAAGTTCTGGGGTAGAGCCGCAGAAAGACCTAGACAGGGGTACTATTAGTTTTGCATCCCAATCACTTGGGAAGGTCTTTTAAATATGCCTTCACTTTCCTTGTTTCCCTGGGCCCGCTGAGTCAGAATCTTTCTCTTTTTAAATAGAGATAAGATCTCACTGTGTTGCCCAGGTGGGAGTGCAGTGGCATGCACATAGCTCCCTGCAGCTTCCAACTCCTGAGCTCAAGTAATCTTCCCATCCCTGCCTCCTGAGTGGCTGGGATTACAGGTGTGTGACACCATGCCCTGCTATTTAAAAAATAAAACTGTAGAGACAGTGTCTTGCTATGTTGCCCAGGCCAGTCTCAAACTCCTATTCTCCAGTGATCCTCCCACTTCAGCCTCTCAAAGTACTGGGATTATAGGCAAGAGCTACTACCCTCAACTTGAATCAGAGTCTCTTGAAGGAACCCTAGCATACAGATTTTGCAGAAGTCCTTGGTGTTAATTTTGACATATGCTTCAGTCTAAGAACACTAGCCTGATAGAAAGGACCACAGATTTGAATTAGAAAAAACAGGGTCCAAATTTGAAGTCCATCAAAGGCTAACTGTGGTTTTTTGAACAAGTAATGTGACTTCTCTGACCTTCAGTTTCTTCATCTGCAAAATGGGACTACACAGCTCACCCTCTTCATCCCTCAACTTTATAATTAAGATGTCATTTCTACTAAGACACCTTGACTGAGCTTTCAGACCAGTCCAGCTACCCACCCTCCCAGGACACATTCCCAGGGAACACCCTATTCACTTCTGCTTTATGACACTGATCACAATTCATTGATCAAGTAGTATGAGTCTTGATACATATCTTAATGAATAAATATCTAATTATGATTAAAGAGATATGCAGTGGATTACTTGCTTTGTGTCTCCACTACCAGTCTCAAAGTTTAATGAGATAGGAAGTTGGGCTGTTCTGCTCACTGCAGTATCCACAGCACTTGGTGTGAAGCTGGCATTTCATAAACACTGAACAAATGGCTGAACAAATGACCGATATATGTAAAGCATCTGGCACATAGTAAGTATGCAACATATGCTGCCTGTTACAATTATTTTTGGACCAGGTGCTGTAGCTGATGCCTATAATTCCAGCCACTCTGTAGGCTAAGGTGGAAGGATCACTTGAGGCCAGAAGTTCAACATCAGCCTTGCTAACATAGTAAGACTCCATCTCTAGAAAATAAAAAATAATTACCCAGGCTTTGGTGATGGATGCCTGTAGTCCCAACTACTTGGGAGGCTGAAGTGGGAGGATCACTTGAGCCCAGGGGTTTGAGGCAGCAGTGAACCATGATCATGCCAGTGTACTCCAGCCAGGGTCACAGAGTGAGATCCTGTCTCTAATTTATTAACTAAATTATTTTCAGAGAGACCAGGTGTTATACCCAAAGACACACAACAGAGCTGAGATCTGAACTTAGTCTACAGGACTTGTTTGTAATTCATTGTATATTTCTGCCTTAAAGTTTTTATATTAGGGAGGAGGATCTAGGAAGAAATGGCAGGCTGCCTCTGTCAGCTAGAATGAGCTGGAGACATGTCTGGCTCTTGCTCACCCTCAGTCTCCACTGATGTAATCCACACACATGTTCACACACGCGTGCGCACACACACACATCTGCAGACTAACATGGCTATTTGCCTTGTTCTACACTTAAGAAAATTTTGGTTGATAAACTCCTTGAAGCCAATCACCATGGTTTTGGCTTCCACTGCAAGATAGATCCATAGGAGTCCTACGATTTGTTGATGATAAACGGGTGAGCAGTAACACTGTCTGGATCCCAGGACTAGTCAAACACAATGGAGCCAAATATCTGTGATAATCTCTGGATTTTCTCACTGGCCATCATTCTGTCTGTGATTCTTGGGAAACTGGTAACTGGAGGGGCAAAGAAGGGAGGTGGAATTCATATTATTGGCTGCTTAACACATGAGGTAGGGAGTTTAGAATAAGACTAGAGGTGGATGTTTCTGGGAATGACTGGATGAGAGCTTGTGTGTCTACACTAGCATGAAAATCAAGAAATAAGAAAGTTTTCATTTTAAAAGCTTCCATTTAGTTAGCAGTTATTAGGCCCCAGATGCTATTTCCAGTGCTTTACAGACATTATCTCATTTAGTTCTCTGGACTCCAAGGGATTCAAATCATCATCATTGGTATCACTGGGGAGAAAAGTAGGCTAAGAGTGATGTGCCAAATGTTATAAACATCTGCATGAGTCAGGACCAGCATTGGAACCAGGTCTAATCAATGACTGCAGAGCGTTTCTTAGCTCATTCAACCAATATTAATTGGGCACCTTATAGGTATCATTTATTTTTTCTTTTTCCTTTTGCAAGGAATATATTACAGACGAAGGCACATGTTCTTGTGGGACTTAGATTCTGTCAGGAGGAGACAGGCCAAATCTAAGTAAATCATGTGATCTGTTAGAACAGTGATAGTGCTATGGGAAAAAAAGGGGGCAGTGCAAAAAGGAAGGAGGGTGGGTGGGAGACTGTGGGCATGGCATCTGTGATACAAGTTTGAAATTTAAATAAAATGGTCTGAACAGGTTTGATGATAAAGTCACCTTTGCAGAAAGAAGAGAAAACTTATAAGAAGGCTTTATGCTATGTTATGCTATGATCATGCTGCCTCCTTGAAATGACTGGATAGACAAGTGAGTGAATCAAACTACTATTGATTAAGCACCTACTATGTCTCAGGGACTGTGCTAAGGACTTTATCCATAATTTCTAATTGAACTCTATAAGAATAATATAGTCTTCATTTTTCAGACAAGGAAATTGAGACTCAGGAAGGATAAAAAAGATTGTCCAAGCTGGGCACAGATCGTGGCTCATGCCTGTAATCCCAGCACTTTGGGAGGCAAAGGCAGGGGTATAATTTGAAGCCAGGAGACTGAGACCAGCCTGGGTAACATAGCAAGACCCCCATCTTTACAAAAAATTAAAATATTGGCCAAGCATGGTGGCATGCACCATGCCACCATAGTTCTAGCTACTCTGGAGGCCAAGGCAGGGTAATTGCTTGAGCTCGGCAGTTTGAGGTTATAGTGAGCTATGACCGTCACTGCACCCAAGGTTGGGTACTAAGGGAGATCCTGTGTCTATAAAAATAATTTTTAAAAAACTGAGATTGCCCAAGATCAGTTAGTATGTGATAGGACCATGGTTTAAACTCCATTCCTCCAGCTGCACAGCCCCCGTTCTTTTGGCTGCCATGATGCTTTCCTTCTTTCTTGGACAGACAAAGAATATGGGGAGGCTGAAGGCTGCTGAGTGGAGATGTTCGGCCCCCAAGCCAACCCCAAAAGCATAGATTATGTTCCTTGCACCCTTGCACAAAGCCAGCCAGCCCACCCTGACTTGGATAAATCACCCTGCATCACTCCCTGAGACAAGGATGTTAAGTCTGGATGCTCATAGCTGTAGGCAGCATGGTTGACCCGCTCAGTTCTCCCCGTGTTGCATTCTGTCTTATACATCCTCAATTTTCTTTTACATTGTTTTGGCATTTCTTTCTTTAGTGGTGACAGCAGACAGATGTGGAGACGTAGCTCCTAAGAGCTATACCATTTGCAAATGTCAGAAAAATGCAAGGCTTCTGGAAGTTCATTGCCCTCAGCTCCCCAAGAGGGTTGCTCTTTCACCAAGGAATGGTGGAATCACAGGTGTTACAGGCTTAGCATCTTCCTAGTGTGCTTTGAAGGAACTGTTCATAAACTTGTTGGAGTCTCATCCTACTTGGCCAGTGTGGCTGTCATCAATGGTCTCCCCCAAGTCTAATCTCATTCCCTCATGCTGCAATTCCTCCTTCTTGCGGCCATTAAGAGCACATGATCTAAGGGGACTTGCTGAATGCAATTCTACCTAGCCTACACTTGTATTCTGTCTCCCTCCATCTTCATGAGCAGTGAATTTATAAATATATATAACAATAAAAATATTGTAAGCAAATGATATCCACTTAGAAGTCTGCAAGGAAAAGAGATGAGTTGCTTGAGTGAATTTGGTATGACATTCCTAAGACATTTAGGCATGAATGTGAAATGACATGTGTGATTTGAAAGTTAGGAGCACCACAGAAATATCCTTTGGAAATAATGAAGCAGCAGCAGTTGAGGAGAAGGATGGTAGAATCCTCTCTGGGCAGCCCAGAGTTTCACAGCCTCAGTCTTCCCTATGACCCTAAGCCAATCCCAAGGGCATAGATTTTGTTCCTTGCAACCACTGTACATACATATATTAAATACTTATATAGAATGAGGACAGCTTGTATTTGTTAAAAACAGTTTCATGTTTTGAAAGCACTGTTCATGGTCATTAATTTATTTAATCTCATTCAAGCATCAAAACAACCCAGTTAATGGGATGTGGTGATTTAAATCCCTATTTTGAAAATGAGGAAACAGAGACCACAGAAACTCAGCAACTTGTCCAAGGTCAAAGCCGGTGAATGATGAGAATATGATTCATGCCCAGGTGTCCAGAGTCAAACTCCCGTGTTTTCTCCCTGACAAGGAAAGGGTGTTTGTACCAGATTTATTTATAGGTATAGGATGTTCACACCCTACCCTACCTCTGTCTCTGTCTTGTACCTGTGTCTCTATTGTTCTCTTTCCTCTCTCTCACCTTCTTTCTCTCTGTCTCACCTTGGATTTAAATTTACTCCAGGGTGAACATGCAGAAAAGCTTTGTTATACCATGATTTCACCTACAATGTGATCCTATGACAGGGACCCCAAGAGTGACCTTGTAATGAGACCTTAATAAATTGCTCTGGGGTCCAGAGCTGGCTGCATGCCCTGGTGCCCTATAGCACATAAAATCCTCATTAGGGGAACCCTGTATGATAACATCCACGACAACATAGACTCACACAGGGGGAGAGAAGATCGAAGTTGCTTAGAGTCAAACCCCCAGATGTTTGGGGCCCTTCCTGGTCCCTCCTTTACATTCATCACACTTTGATGTATCTGCATGTCCAGTGTCTCTCTCCCCATTAGATGGAGCTACATAGGGCAGGAGCTGTATGTGCTTTGTTAACGGTTGTCCCCTCGGTCTATAGCATCATGTCAGTCATTAGGTAAGTCCTCACAAAGAGAGGGGGCACAAGTGCACGAATAAATACATGAAGTATTGATGGAATAACAGTAATTTCACGTCACTCTTCCCAGAAGCACATTTTGCAAGATTCTCATTGAAGATGCAGCTTAACCTCTTCAGGATTCTCACAGGGAAGGAGTGAGTTCCACATGAACAACCTGTTCTGGAATGAGTGGTGATAAGATGGGATGAGAGCATTTTCCCAGTGTTTCTCAAATGGTTCCAGGCAGACCCTTGGGTATTAACTCACCCCCAACACCAAAATCAAGAGCAGTTGGACCTCAAGGAAAAGGAAACTTGGGGAAACTGAGAAAAGGGGCAGCTGGGGCCTGACTTCATTCTATCAGGGTTCCCTCCCTGTGAGCCTCTGGTTATTCTATCCTGAATACAAGGCAGATATGGAGAGGTTCTGACATAGGGCCTAGAAAGTGAGGTTCCTATGAAACAACAAAAATTGAAACTAACTTCTGGCCTTGCTGGGTCTGTTATTGGAATTAATGCTCATCTTTTTTAATTTATTCAAACTGAAGACACTTTCTGGCAAGGTGTTAGATTGCCAATGAAATGTCAGCCAAGGGTTTACGAAGTCAAGGTCTGAGAAACTTGTGTCAGTTTAGGCTCTGGGTAAAAATTCACATGAGATTTAGCAGTCTTGCAGGTACATTTGTTAAATAGTCTTTTGCATGTCCTAGACTAAAACCTTGCAAGGAGCTGTATATAACGTTAACGACAAAGGCCAAATGGCCTCTTCTATCCAAAGTAAGGACAGACTGATGGATGAACTGTGGAAGGCACACTAGAGTGATCTTCTTCCCCAGTATAAGAGCAGAAAAGAACTGAACATTTTCTAAGTTTCAATTCAAACCTTGATCAAAGATCCAATCAAAATGAACCTTATCAATAACAACTTGTATGGAATATTGAATATGTACCAGGCTTCATGCTAAGCACCTTTCATTTATATTGATCAATTAGTCTTCTCAATGATTTCATGAAGTGGGTTTTATTATTTGCTCTATTTGATTGAAAATGAAAGAGAGGAACAGAAGTTCCCAAACTTCATTCAACATGACCAAGCTTGCAAACCAGCAAAGACCAGGATTAAAGCCTGGGCAGTTAGCCTCTGGAACTCTTGCCCTTATCATTGGTTAGGTAATGAATCCAACATTCAGGAATATAACCAATATGCTCATTACAGGTTTAGTTGCAGTTTCAGACTCCTTATGGTTGGCAGATAGTTAAGCCTCATAGTACAACATTTTTTCTTCTTTTAGTTCGTAGTACAAAGAGAAAGCACTAGAATAATTAACTGGAAAATTCATTCTTCAAATGCTTTGCTTTATACCAACAAATTGGACAGGTCAAGATGTCCTCCTGTCACCTGGGATTCTGAAGAAACATGTGAGTCACTATTGTATACTCTTAGCATCTGGGTGGAGAAACATCTAGGGATTATCTAGGATTCTTAACAGCCATGACAATCAGGATAAAGAACATGGTCCTTAAGAGATGCCCTAATAAGGGAATGGCAGGCCTCACCCACTCCTATGCATTTGATCTTTGCAGCAAACTTGAATCAAACTTGAACTTCATTCACAAATATGTGAAAAGATGCCCAACATCAGTAGTAAGGAAGGGGATGAAAATTAAATGACATATTTTACATAACATTTTGGCAAAAACTTCTGAGTTTTAATAATATCGATCATTGTGAGAAGCAGCTACTTCCATAGATTGCCAATGAAAACATGAATTGGAATGGCCATTTTGGAAGGAGATATGAAAGTATTAAAAATGTATACCACCTGTGAGCCAGCAATTCTAGTTCTTGGTATCTACCATCAAAAAACACTTATATTCATAAGAGTATTCACTGCAGCATCATTTATGGTGCCAAAAATAGGAAACAGTAGAAATGTAATATGTCCATACCCTGAACTATTATACAGCTCATGAAAAGGTAAATTTCTATGTACTGACAACAAATAACATTCATAAAGCATACTGTTAATTTAGAAAACCCACACAGCATTGCATCATCCTATCATACACATACACACACACACACCATTATGTAGAAAAAAAGAGTGCAGAGGTACACAAAAGACTCAAGGATGAGACTACTTCTGGGGAAGTTCTAGGGATGGAGAGAAATAGTCAAGAGAACAATCCATCATTCAATCATTCAACAAATATTATTTAGCACCTTCTTCGCCAGGCACTGATGCTACCCTGTGATGAATAGACCAAAATCCTTGGGATCATAATGCCAATATTCTAGCATTAGTATTATTGTTAAGCATGTGTATAAAACAAGAATGAATTTATATATTGCTTATAATTAAAAAGAAGTAAAAATAAAAGCTAATAATGAAATCACTTACAATTTGATATGAACAAAATGTCAAGTGATTATTTTGGATTTTAAGAGTAGTTGCAAATAGTCCCAACCATAAATGTTGTATTGGTGACTGTCACGAGGCTAGTGTAATTCCTCAAATGGTTCCCTCTGGATGGTTGGCACAGACAGGAATGCAGAGACAACCTCACGCAGTTCAAAGGCCTGCGTATAATTTTGACAATTGCTTCTATTAACATTTTGGGGGAGCATCATTAGACACAAAGTAGGAGTAAAACCTAATCCTATTATATATATATTCACAAAAGATATGTACAGGAATAATCTTAGTGGCACTATTAAGAGGCCTAATCTGAAAACTACCTAAATGTCCATCAGTGGTTGAAAAGATGAATAGTTGACTATATTCACACAAAAGAATGACATATAGCAATGAAAAGCAACGCATTAAAACTAACTAACAATGGATGAATCTCATTGACAGTGGTGAATAAAGGAAGCCTGGCTCAAGAGTAACACACTCCAATATCATTTATAGAAAGTTTAATAATAGACAAAAATAACACATGATACTAGAAGGTGGAATAGTTGTTACCCTTAGGAGGCGGCAGTAGCTTGGGTGCATTATGAAGGCTTTGTAGGGACTAGGATTGTTCTGCTTCTTAATCTGGGTGCTGGTTGCCTGGATGTATTTATGAATTGTGTTGAGTTTTACAGTTGCTACTTTTAACTTTTTAGTAGGTATATTCTACTTGCATCACAAGCTTACAAAAATAAAAGTAAAAACATAAAGCCCCAAAATCCAATATGTATTTTGGAAACTCATCTTCCTCAAATCACATGCCTTTTCTGGGTTTCAGTTTTACCATCCAAAAAATGGGAGAGAAATTTGTTAGCTGGTCACTAAGGGCTCTTCCAAATTTGTGGCTCTGTGTATCACCTCCTCCATTCCAACAATTCATTCCTGAAGCAATGAAAAAACATAGAGAATGAGGCTTGTGGAAGGCTTATAATGTCACATGTGCCCCATTTTCAAGGCATTTGTTATGAAGACACAATTAATGAGCAAGGGAAATTATATCTTTCCAGGAAAATACACAGTTAATTCTTTCCCATAGTGCTTGTGGGATAAGTGGGAGTACGTCAAACGCTGCCCCTAGCACACATCCTACGGTCATGCCAATCTAAACAGCCTGTGAGGGGAAAATCGGCAATTTAGCAGGCAGGGCTGTTCCTGGTAGGAAGGAGGCACCCACTATGCTCATGACCAACAACCTATTTGAAAAGGCACTTCCTCTCTGAGGGGAGTTGGTTCATTATTTTTCTCTTACTGCTACTGGAAGTCCTTGAATGGCAATATCACAACTTGTACCCATTCGCAACAGGAAAGTTTGACATCCGCAGATAATCTTGGCACGCGAGGAGGAAAGGTCCAGTACTGCCTGTCAGCTTCTATATAAAAACCAGGAAGATAATTTCTATAGCATATACTATGATGTAATAATCATTAAAATCAAAGTTGGCCTTCAGCCAGGGAATCTTTTCCTAGTTGTATCCAAGCCCCACTGAAATTTGCCAGGCAGGGACCCCAAGGAAATCAACTCAAGGCCCTGAACAGACTTATTGTGTTAACTCTTGGGAGAGTGAGACAGCCTCCGGTGAGTAGGGGTATTATCCTGACTGTTTAGAGAGCTGAGCCTCATGTGATGGGTTGGTTCTCACAGGAAAGCTCAAATTCGCAGCTGAAAATAACCAGACACAAAATCTGATAGGGGTTCTCAGGTCATCTAGACCAGTTCTTCTCAAATGATCAGAGGTGAAGGACTAGTTTTGTTTCATTTTCTTTGGTTATTTATTTGTAACCATTCACAAGCCAATACATTTTTTTTAATTCAAGAAAATCGCATGATTACAAATGAAATAGACAAAATATAAGCCTCATTTTTTAAAATTAGTTTCAATAGACATTATTCTGTCCAGTGGCCATAAAAGCTCAGAAATTCTCCTTGATCTAGGTGCTGGTTAAACAGATATGTTTAGTTTGCAAAAATCTGTGGAGCCGTAAGCAATGTCTGCAGGTACCCATCGTGAAACGGTGGTAGTCTGTGGATTTCAGGAGTGGTACTCGTCAGAGATCTTCATATTCTCACAAGTACACTTGTTCAGGAATAACATAATGCTCAAAGTAAGGGAAAGGGTCAGGGGACAGATATTGTAATGAAGATGGGGCTCAAGAAAAGACAATGGAAGAACAGATAGAAAAGTATTCAAAGTAATGGCAAAAATCACAATTACTTGTGTGCCAACCTAATAAGAATCTCAGAAATCAAGACTTCAGTAAGGAAGCAATTTTTGGTGATAATGAAGGAATCTGCTGTTTTCAGAAGAGTGAGGTTGAGGGACATCAGTAAATAACCATATGAATTATGGAGAATGAGGCACAAAATCTCTGCTAATTGAGTTCAGCAAATCCAGAGGCTGAACAACCGATATGCAGTACGTGAGATATTGAAGCTCTGGTTTAGGTCAGCCTGAGAACACCAGGCAGGTAATACATTACTTCTTTCCACCCATTTCCTACTCACAAATTGCAGATGGAGAACAGATTTGTACAAAATTAATTTTCTTGTTTTATCAAATACCAAATATAAAAGCTCATGTCCATATAATCACAGTTAATGACTCTTGAAAGCAAATTTGGAATTAGGGACAATTACAACAAACCCTTAGGAGAGTAAAACAATTTAAGTTATAGGAATAATTTCCCACTGAAGGCAGTTAGACTTTATTTTTTTTTTAGTATTTTTGGAAAAGGGACAAATTTAAGACAAAAAAAAAAAAAACTGAAGTTCTACAAGCATTTTAGTTTACAGTCCAAGACAGCTGTTGGGTGATATCACCCATTGTGAAAACAGCCATGCGTGGAGGGAACTGGCAGATGAAAAGCAAGAAAACTCGATATGGGGTGTGTAAACGTGCTTTCTCTGTCTCTTTTGATTTTCGTTATAGCTAGATACTCCTAGAAGTGAAGTTACATATGTGGATGTTTATATGAAGAATAAAGGACACAAGAAAGGATTCAAGACATGAAAAACGGTGGAGGAAGGTAAACATTTCAAGATTCAGATCATGTTGCTGCCCAAATTCAGAGTGTCTCTAAGGAAATAGCTAGAAGGGGTTTTCAACTCTCAGCTTCCTTCCAAGGAATAAAGAGTTTGCTGTGAGCAAAGAACATGCCAAGAAAATGCCAATTTGTGTCACACTAACATCTTTCTTAAGGCTGAACGTGGACTTCGGAAATGTGAATCTTTGGCTCTGGTGAACGGAGTCAGCCTTGAGGGTTTGAAATTAGGTTCTTCAGAAAGACAGAGGGAAATCTGAGAGATCAACTTAGACACCCACTAAGTGGAAAATGCACCCACACCAGAGACTCATTTGCAATGAGTGGCGGGGTCAACCTTTCCATGGCACCTGACGTGAACTCAGAAAAATGAAATCCCTGAAAACACGTTTGGAAATGATTTCATCGAAGACAGAGAGAGACAGCCACTGCTGGAGGGAGGAAGAGAGGACAAAAGGCAAACCAAAGTGAGACGCTGTAATCGAGAAGACTTGGCGAGAACAAATGGAAGAACATTTGAACTTTTTTTGTGGCAGACAAAACAACCTTCAAAGGCTACCTTCTTCCTAGTTGATAGGGTAAAATTGCTTCCACCAATGCATTATACATATTTAAAACTCTCCTTTCTGCATTTATAATTTTCATAGATGCAGCTTCCTGCAAATTTAAGTAATGAATGTAAGATGATGCTCCCTTGGGGGTTGTAAAGACAATCTAAGAACAAGTCATTTCGGAGTAACAAACTTCACAGCCGGGGATAATTTCCATTGCATAAGGCACTTACCCCTAAAGCTTTCATTGTTTCACTCTTAGGCAGTTATGTCATTATTTTACTTACCTCTTTGGGGAAATCACTGTTTAACAACTGAATATAAATGGGGAAATAGTCTTCTACTTTATCTTCTCCAGGATAATAGCTTCCCTCTCCCACTTCCCTACACAGAAGGATTAGTCCCAAATGGGTGATGAATTGCTCGAAACAGTCAGACAGTCCCAGAGAGAGAAATGAGAGGAAAAATAACTAGCTGATTACCAATAGGGAACAAATTAGCCACTTGAGAATTCAGTGGCTAGAATGACAAATGAGAAAATGAAAATCCTCATCAAGGGACTAGACTTGCTGATGGGTCCAAGTGCGGATGACCACTTTCCATCCCTCTCCTGCCCTGCTGTGCAATGATTTACATCTGATTGAACATTATTTTGTATTTGGGGCAGTCATTTCTAAAAGGGTGTTTGGAAAACTTTGAAGTACTTAATTATAACCAGGAGGGATGTATTTGGGGGCTGAGCAGTGAAATGGAAGATGCTCTGTGTTGGGCTTATGGAATGTTCATTTAGAGAAGAAACCCATGTCTGGTTGCTTTGGTCTGGTTTTTCATTCCATCACCCATTAAAGCAGCTTTCCAAGGTTTTCTGGACTCTGGAAGAAAATAAAAATGAGCTGAGTATTCTTGGCCAAGGGATCCACATTCAAGGCAGACTCTAGGATTTCAACATGTGGATAGACTGGGCTGTTAATCATCAATTATTAAAAATAGAAATAATTTGGGACTCCTTTGAAGGGAGGCCATTTTTGACTAGACTTCCTTTGAATCAACCTATCAAGGGAAGTTGGGTATATAATGAACAATAGACATGTTCAGTGGTGCTAAGTCATATATGCATTAAGAAATAAAGCAAGGCTATCAACCGTTAGCTTCCAAGTAGACATAGCCATATGAGTCATAGGAAATATGAGGAAAAGGGGAGGTGGAGATTTTAAGTCAGGTGATCAGAATAGGATTCAGAGAGAAAGGGAGCTAGGACTCAGGCCTGGAAGGAGGGATACAGCTATAGTAATTTCTGGGTGAGAATCACTTGAAAGAAGACTAGTACTGATTTTTTTTTTTTTTTTTAATGATTTGGTACAGAGTAGAATGGTATGTCTTGAGCAAAGTGGTTTTGAGTACAGGAGTCTAGAAAGATGGGACAGAACATAAAATTTTATATATATGAATGGGCCTTCAACACCAGGCAGAGAATTGGGTTTGACTCTAAAAGTACCAGAGGGAACATTAAGGATTCTAAGGCAGTTAGATCTGTTTTAGAAGCCTATTTCCTCATTTGACAAAAAGAATCAGCTAAACATCATTCTCTGAACTTTTCCAACAGATAAAATCAACATGTAAGATGGCCATTTTTATTCTTTTTTGGTTTGTGGGACCAGTGCTTTGGAAGATAAGAATGAACGATCACAGTGCCTGGCTCTAGGACTCAATACGTATTGTTAAATGCATGAACAGAGCTGAACTATATAGAACCAGGGTACTGTTTCCTAGAACAGATGAAGACCTGATCACCTCAGAACTCTCATGAGGTATCAGTAGAGAATTTGACAGGGACCTGAGTTAGAAGTTATGTGAACTTGGGCATGTAACTTCACCTTGCTGAGTCTACATTTCATTACCTGAAAAAGCAAAGGTGAGTTTCATGAGTGAGCTTTAATTACAGGAAGATTTTATGTGTATTTTTGGGGAAAGAGATTTCATACATGGCTTGTGTTGGATTCATAGAAGGCCATGATGCAAGATACAGTTAAGAACCACTGGATATTTCTTTTAAACTGGAAGAGTCTATGACTCTGAGATTTCAGGGATGATTTTCCTCCCTGGAAAGACAATTGGAATATCAGACCCCACAGCTCTGCCAATTTTGTTACCTTGTAGGAGGCCTGTGGCTGACTGATTTGACTGAAACGGGGAGAAGAGGATGTTGTTCCTGTCAACCCAGCCTCAGATTCCTCAGCAATTTAAGAAGCATTATTGATCTGATCAGCCACTCTAGAGTGTAACTGACCATTGAAAAAAGCAAATCATTGAAAGACACCTGCTCCTATCAGAAAATGACACTGGCAACATGTAACCTCTGACACAGCTCTTTCTGTAGAATGTTTCCTCTTTTTTCTTCCTTTCTTTAAGTGGGCATGTTCACAGTGGACTCTGTCACAAGGCTATTAGAATTACTAGTTAATGATAGGGGAAAGCATTGGGAAAGATGAGAGATACACTCCTGCTCTTAAGGCTATTCTTCAGAACAATATGCAATGATATTTTTGTTGAATGGACACACTTAGCAGTCACTCTGATTTGGAGACTTGTCAACAATGATGTAATGCTGGCCAGTTAACATGAGCAGTTAAAGAAAATGTTACAACCTAGAAGCTATTGTCAGTGTAAAACTCTGGCGCAGAAAGCTTGTCCCAGCAATTTATAATGAGGCAATACTCTTAATGATTTTTGGCTTCATGCATTAATGAACAGATTTAAAGGATAAAGGACTTACAATGTAATAAGGAAAACTCAAGAAAAGATTCGGCTCCAATCAAAATAAATTGTGTTTTTAGATTTATTTTCATAAATTCAGCTGTTTCCCTTTATTTATACCAAAAAGAAATGCATCATGCTAAGCTGATTTTTATAATTCAGAAAAAAGAATGGATATTATATTTTAATATAATATCCACAAATTGCAAATGTCAACTTAAAAGAAAAAAATCATATAAAGGCAAGAATAGAGCATCTATTCTTGCTAGGTAGAGAAAAATAATTCCTATAAAGGTCAGTAAATTCATTTCCCCTTTCTAAATAGTACCTGTTGTTTAATTGAAGAGTTGATTAGCACCATTAAAAAACCCACCTAAAATAGCAATTCTATGAATAATAGCAATGAAATATATTATGATTACCTTTGCTTTCTATTCTTTCTCCTCCCTCCCAGTCTCTTCTAAATAAATGATGCTCCTTACTCCCCATCAGGCATCCAAAACCAAGAGGAGACAATTTCTTCCAAGAATGTGCATTAAGAACTCCAGTTTACTTCATCTGTAAAGTCCTATAGGCAGTACTACCAAATAATGAGTCAAAATCACTCTATTTAGCACCTAACTATTCTAGAGTTGTCCATATCTTTATGTTCTGTCTTTTCAGCATGAAAGCAGAAACTTCTACTCTATCTGCAATTTTCTTTCTTCCACTGGCAGCAATAATTTTTAAACAGTACTTGGCATCGGCCAGGCATGGTGGCTCACGCCTGTAGTCCCAGCACTTCGGAAGGCTGAGACTGGCAGATCACAAGGTCAGGAGTTTGAGACCAGCTTGGTCAGTATGGTGAAACTCTGTCTCTACTAAAAGTAAAAAAAAAAGTTAGCCAGGCGTGGTGCTGCATGCCTGTAATCCCATCTACTTGGGAGGCTGAGGCAGAAGAACTGATTGAACCTGGGAGGCCGAGGTTGAAATGAGCTGAGATTATGCCATTGTACTCCAGCCTGGGCAACTGAGAAAAAAAAAAAGTACCTGGCATCATCCAAACCTGTCTTCCAGTGAGCATCAGAATCTTTCTGAACATAGTGATTGCTCCAAATCGCCTAGAATTGGAACAGAATAAAATCTATGGGTTAACTCTGGAGCCCAGGCCAATGGCACAACATGTGGTAGGTTGCAAATTACAAGATGTTTAGCTCAGTCTTCCATGATATCTGGCAATAGGATGTTACCAATAAAAACTCCTTAAGCTGAAAATTGGCCCAAGTTGCAGTCATTCTACATTTGCAAGTTGCGTCAGACTCTATGGTATATTCCCAGTGGGGGTCCTATGGTTTCCTAAACTGTCTAATCTCTTCCCATATCATTGCTCATGTTCTCAGGAGAGCTGGCTTAATTTGTGTTTATGATGATACTGATCTGTTTTTCTACAAATAATTATTGTTTTGGTTTTTGTTGTTAACAAACCAACCTGATCCTGCTCTGGTAGAATCTACAATAGCACTGGGGTAGGATTCTTATTACAGTGAACACCAAGGGGCAAATGGGTTATGAGGGATAAAATCTGGGCTTATCTCTATTGGAACTCTTATTGCATCTGAGGATGAGAGACCCTGACTATACAGATGGTTAACACAAACAAAAAATACACAAGGGCATTTATTAGATGTCTTTAGCCATTTAGGTTAAAACACACTTAAATTCCAAAAATCACTTTAATTTTCTGGCATTTTCATGGCAAGATTGGTTGTGCATTCATTCTATAGATGTTAATAAATCCTGCATAATTGTTAGCTGTCAAAATTTTATGCTGGTTATTCTTTGGCACCTGAAACACAGCACAATATTTTCACTGGACTCTTCCAAATTGTTTCTTTCTATTTGTGAAAATAAGTTCTCACTGCCGAAGAATTACCTCTTGAAAGTTTCATGCTACCCTTAAAGGGCTGGAGAGTGTGACTGGTTTTCAAATCTTTTTGGCTCCTGGAATGTAGGCTGAACTCTAAGGGATCTTGTGCTCTTCATTCATTCTTCATAATCATACCTCCCTCACAGGGTGGTTCTTTCCACATCACAGATAAGGAAACTAAGATTCAGAAAAGTTAACCAGTCATCCACAATGACACACCTACTGTGTGGTCAACTCAAGTTTTGTTTTTTTGTTTTTTTCCCCGAGGCAAACTCAGTCTGTCGCCCAGGCTGGAGTGCAGTGGCATGATCTCGGTTCACTGCAACCTCCACCTCCCAGGTTTAAGCGATTCTCCTGTCTCAGCATAACCCAGTAGCTGGGATTACAGGCACCCTCCACCATGCCCAACTAATTTTTTTTGTATTTTTAGTACAGACGGGGTTTCACCATATTGGGCAGGCTGGTCTCAAACTCCTGACCTCAGGTGATCCACCCACGTCGGCCTCCCAAACTGCCGGGATTACAGGTCTCAGCCAACACACCCAGCCCAACTCAAATTTATTCCATTGATTCGAACCTTTCCACCAGGGTCCTACGTGGCTGCACCTCTACAAGTCTAAACTTGGGGGGCCCCTAAAACAGTGATAGAGAGTTGGTGAGTGTGAAAGAAGGAAATGTAAGACTGTGCATCTGTAACACTGCTGTGTATGAGCGTGTGTGATGTGAGAGAAGAAATCATAGTTTCTAGGTTCAGCTCTGTTATTGTATTTCTCCGGCTTCGGGAAGTCACTGTTCACATCTTTCATTGACTCTTTAGTCAAATAAGAATTCGTAAATGTGTGAGCAGAGTAGTTCAACTGCTGCATTCTTCAGGCTGACACTGAAGGATTCTCTTGTGTGCTTATATCACAGCCTGGGAAAATGTAGTTTGGAGGTCTCCTTTTCAACATCCTACCTCTTCATCCTATCTTTAAATTTGAGGATTCCCAGAGTTCCACCCCAAATCTTCTGCTCTTCTCTAGCACTACCTTCTCTGTGGGTGATCTCACCCTTTCTTGGTTCTTGTTTAAATACCTCTGTCTGATATTAATATAGCCACTCCATCTTGCTTATGGTTGCTCTTTGCACAGTATCATTTTCTATCCTTTGGCTTGCATCCTATTCTTACCTATGAATCTAAAGTGTGTTTGCTATAGACAGCATAGAGTTGGACCTTGTTTTGTTTTTCAATTCAATTCAATTAACTCCAACTTTAAAGTGGATTCTGTAATTATTTATGTTTAATGGCATCATTGATATGGCTAGATTTACCTCCGCCACTTTACTTTTGGGTTTCTATGCCTCGATTCTTTTTTGTTCCTCTGTTTTTCCTTTAATGCTTTCCTTTATGATTAACCAATATTTTCTAGTATAACATTTTAAGTTATTTAATAATATTTCATATTTAAAGAATTGTTTTCTTAGTGTTTTCTCTTGGGCTTACAATATACATCTTACCAAAATCTACTTCATATTTACACTAACAATTCCAGTGAAACATAGAAACTTTACTCCTATTATATAACTCTATTTTCTCACCATTTTATATTATTGTTCAATATAGTAGATTTATATGCTATAAACCCAACAGTGCATCATAATAATTATCACTTTATATAATTTTATATATTTTACAGAACCTGGAAGGAGGAGGAGATCAAGTACATATTTATAGAGTTTATTATGAGGATCTTCTTAACCATTTGTAATTCACTTCATTTCTTCCTATCAAGTCAAGTCATCATTCTGGTATCATTTCCCAAAACTGCTTTGCTCACACCCACCTCCTTTGTGCTGTTGTTTTCAGATGTATTACATTTCTATATACTATAAGCCCAACAATACAGTTATATGCAAATTGTTTTATATAAACACATTTCTTTTGAAATCAGCTAGGAGAAAAAGGAGGAAGGAATGTGCAGTTGTCTCCTTCCCTTTCCTTTCCCTTCCCTTTCCCTTCCCCTTCCCCTTTCTTCTCCCTGTCCCTCTCCCCCTCTCCCCCTCTCTTCTTCTTCTTCTCTCTCTCTCTCTCTCTCTGCAACACCCCCACCCCAACAGGGTCTCTGTCGCCCAAAGTGCAATGGCATGATCTCAGCTAACTGCAAACTTCACCTCCCAGGTTGAAGTGATGCTCCTTCCTCAGCCTCCCAACTAGCTGGGATTACAGGTGTCCACCACTATGCCCAGCTAATTTTTGTATTTTTAGTAGAGATGGGATTTTACCATGTTGGCCAAGCTGCTCTCAAACTATTTGCCTGCCTGGGCCTTCCAAAATGCTAGGATTACAAGTATGAGACACCACACCCAGCCTACATTGACTTTTCAATCTTTTTTATGTGTGAGGTGAAGTTCATATAACATACAATTTAACATTTCAAAGTGTAGAATTCAATATCATTTAGTGCATTCACAATGTTTTGCAACCACCACCTTCTTTAGTTTTAAAACTTTTTTGGGCCAACATGGAGAAACCCCATCTCTAGTAAAAATACAAAAATTAGCTGTTTGTCATTGGGGGCATCTGTAATCTCAGCTACGTGGGAGGCTGAAGCAGGAAAATCACTTGAACCCAGGAGGTGGAGGTTGCAGTGAGCTGAGATCTCACCACTGCACTCCAGCCTGGGTGACAGAGCGGGACTCCATCTCAAAAAACAAAACAGAACAAAAAAAACCAAAAAACTGTAATCCCAGCACTTTAGGAAGCCAAGGTGGGAGGATTTTCTGAGCTCAGGCATTTGAAAGCAGCCTGAGAAACTTAGTAAGACTCCATCTGTACCAAAAAATTAAAATATATATTAAAATTTTTTCATCATCATGCTTCATACTCATTAAGTAATCACTTCCCATACTCACTTTCTCCCATCCCCTAGTGATCACTAATCTGAGTCTCTACAGGTTTATCTATTCTAGATATTTTATGTGAAAGGAATATACAATATATGACTATGTCTGGTTTATTTCATTAGCACAATGTTGGCATAGCTTATTTGTGTTTTAGGACATCTCACTACTTCTTTCCTTCTTTTGGCTGAATGTATATTTATTGTATGTATATATTATAATCTGTTTATCCATTTACCTATTGGACATTTGCATGGTTTATGTTTCTATAATACCTTTTGGCCATAACGAATACTGCTGTTATAAACATTTGTGTACAAGTTTCTGTGCAGATCAGTATTTTCATTTTTCTTGGATGTATACCTAGCAACAGATTCGTGGGTCATATGATAATTCTGTTTTGCTTTTTTTTTTGGGGACGGAGTTTCGCTCTTGTTACCCAGGCTGGAGTGCAATGGCGCAATCTCGGCTCACCGCAACCTCTGCCTCCTGGGTTCAGGCAATTCTCCTGCCTCAGCCTCCCGAGTAGCTGGGATTACAGGCACGCGCCACCATGCCCAGCTAATTTTTTGTATTTTTAGTAGAGACGGGGTTTCACCATGTTGACCAGGATGGTCTCGATCTCTTGACCTTGTGATCCACCCGCCTCGGCCTCCCAAAGTGCTGGGATTACAGGCTTGAGCCACTGCGCCCGGCCTCTGTTTTGCTTTTTAAGGAAACCCAACTCTTCCACAGCAGCTGGACCATTTTACATTTTGATCAGCAATATACAAGGGTTTATATTTCTCCACATCCTGCCAACATTATTTTCTGGGTTTTTTTGTTTGTTTTTATAGCCAGCCTAGTGGATGTAAAGTGGTATCTCACTGTGGTTTTTATTTATGTTTGTTTAATGACCAATGACGTTTAATATCTCCACATGTGTGTTTGGCCATTGGTGTACCTTCTTTAGAGAAATATTTATTCAAG